TGTAGCACCAAATTACTCACACAGCACTTCTAATTAATATCTGGGTGATAAAGATACTCCATGATCCAAGATGAGCTTCAAGGATTCACAGCTGTCCTTTGGGAATCACTGACCCACAAAATGATTTAGTTTGAGGCTTGGAAAAAATAAGTGGACCCTGCAATGGCTGATGATAACTTTTGCATGCAAGTTCCTCCACAACTTGAAAAATTGACACTGGCTGAACAAAGCCACAAATCACTTAGAATATTTACTCTCTCTTTCTTTAGGGTGTTCATACAAATAATAAAGATGTTTTTCCTTTCCAGCTTTGCCATTTACTTCAGTTATTTAGAGGTCAATATTCAAAAAGTCTGAAGGTTTTTGATTTCATTAGCAACTACAAGATTAAGTATTATCACATGTTTTCAAAAATCTGCATTCAGATATGAAAACTATTTGCAGCTGCAATTGATTACCAAAACCAAGTGACTACTTCAAGATATTTTGCTTTCATTGTTCTGGATATGTTTCCTCAAATTTAATTTGAGACTGAATACAGTTAGTATTCTAAACAGTAATTTGAACAATTGGAGTGTTGATCATTTTATCATACAGTTTTACAGAAAAATACAAGTGAAACACTAAGAAGATACATGGCATCTTTTTGTTCTTAACTGAAGTAAATATCAAAAGTAAGGCAAGAGAGCTGACCTCTAAGCCTATATTAGCAAATTTGCTCTTGGAACCATTCCACTAAATTCCATTGGTGGACACAAAAAATGTGTTCTGTCTCACAGACACCTTAAAAAAGTTCCACAAAACAGAAAAATACCTGCTCTGGAAAAAGGATGTTTTTGCTTGTATAATTCTGTCTACACTAGGACAACTGTGTGCATCAAAGTGTCACAAGAACTTGTTTTTTGGTAAACAGAGCTTTCAAGCGGCAGGGATCAGCTTCCAAAAGAAAATTTCAAACAGGTCCATAGACCTAACCAATGCATGACAGGCACAGTGCACATTTTTAATGGAAAAAAAATGAAATCATTAAGAAATGCCATATTAGAAAAAGTTCTATAGAATATTTAGTAAGAGACAATATTCAATATGACAATGACAAATCAATGTGCAAATGACAATATTCATTTGCACAACTGCAAATGACCCTTTAGTCATAGCAGGGAATATTTTTAGATCAATTCAGCTCCAGTGAGGAATTCTCAATTAACTTAAAACCCAAAAGAAGTTTACACTAAAAATGAAAACAAGAGTACACATCTAAGCAAGGGATATTGGTAAGATAGTAAGAAGAGGTTCTATAAATACACCAGAAGGAAAAAAAAACAGAAATGAAAGTGCAGAACAATTAGCAATGAGGAAATAACGGCAAAAGATTAAACCAACAAGGCTGAATTCAATTTCTTCCTCACTTATATTCTTCCTGCTCTATAAGGGTTAACTGCAAGTAGAGAGCAAGGTACAGGACCAGGAAAAGAACAGGCTATCATTTAATCCTCACTCACTTAGTAAACCATAATATATTAAACAGTTCAAGAGAACACTAGAAATAATGTATAACTGGACATCATAGATAGCAGCTATACCAAACATGAGTAAAAACCTCAGTTGTGCTGATTGGAAATATCAAAACCCCTCAAAAATTAGTAAGAAATCAACAAAAACTTTCTTCAGTCAAGGTCAGAAAACCACCTTGGTCACCAATAGCTGATACAAACTGACATAGCCTTACATGTAACAAACAGATGGGCTCATCTTACATAGGCTAGGGTTATTTACCTTGTACAGCTTTAGAAAATGTTACGCTGGCAGTGAGATGAAAAGGAAGGATTTTGGTCTGAGATAGCATTGCTTTCACACTGACCTTGCACTCATGCTGAGCTTCTGATTTATGTATCTAATCTCCAACTACAGCCACCAGAGACCCTGTTCAATTCACAGGATCCCTGCCTGGACACAGGTGCCTATCATCACTGGAGATGTCCTAGGGTTTCTCACAACCTCTGGATGATGGCCTGGAAGTCTAGAGACCCCGAAGGTCCTGTGTGATATCTGTCATGCCATACAAATATCCTGACACATCAAATGGCACATGCTGCCTTTCAACTCTTTATCCTCTCTAAGTGCAGGATCAGCCCTTGCTCACATGCAGGCACATATGACAGAGACAGAACATCCAAGTGTCCATCTGGAGTTGGACACTGCCCTTCAGCTCCCATCTTGATCACCCACTAGTGATCCTAGCATCTTTTTGTAAGAATACTTGTTCTATTTTTTCTTTTCAGTTGTTTTCTCTATTATAAATATTCTTATTAACTATGGATTTCATATTACTTTCACATATTAGTTATTCATAACTTAATTGTTATGACACAGTTAACACATTGTTAACTGTTTATACACAGTCTTTTCTATTTATAACCTCAGGTAAAATTCTGTTTGAGAGCATAGTTTTTACAGGGAAGATTCCATGAATTCTTATTTCCTGTTCACGGTGATTAACATGTGAAATAATGTTCAGATAAACTGGAAAAATTTGCATTAGGCCAGACTTGAACAATATAGATCTGGCACAGAGCTGACTACAGAAGTCTTGTGAGTAAAGCAGAAAGTCCCAACAGCAAGCAAAAAGGCAAACATATCAGGGACAAGAAGAACTGTTCCAGACAAACCAGCCTAACCTGAAGACAATCCACGATAAATTATTCTGGATGTGCATAAGCATACAAAACATTTAACATAAGATTTTTGTGGAAAAAACAGGATAAAAAAAAGTATTATGGTAAGATAAAAAATCCTGGGTAAGAGGAGTGCAACAAATGAGATACACCTTGTTAATGTGGCCATTGACTTTGTCCTACCTGATGTTCCTTAAAAATCTAACCTTGGAAATACTGTTTAGATTAAATCACTTGAAGAGATGGTTGCAGAACCAGGTTCATGTGAACCTGAGCATCACTATAGGTGTCACCCAAAGTTTAGTGCTGGGTCCATTATCTTCCAGTAATTTCATTAATTAAGTTAATGATTTTAAAAAGCCCATACAACAAAAAACACTTTTGAAATAAAATATTAACCCATGAGGGCATGCATTTACAAACCTAAATAGCCTCAAACCTGAGAAATGGTCAGAAACAAATATGAAATCAATTAAATGTGTGTAAAATACTTTATAAAGAATAAAATAGAATAAAACAAGTTTAAAAAATAAGTTAAAAAACAAGCCAAACTGGTCAAGTAGCAGCTCAGCACAAAAATATCTACTGGGACCATAGATAGAACCACTATTGTTATGCTAAACAAAAATATACCAACATCCCTCTGGAGCATGGAAGCCCATTATGCCCAGTATTTAGAGCCTCAATTAGATTGGCACAACCCTTACACTTATATCACACTTTAAAAATCATGCAGCAAGTCAGAAATATGTCAGAAAAGAAAGACAAGCAGATAATATATTAAAAAAATTACAGTGAACTATTTTAATCTATAATGTCTATCTATACCTCTAGAAAGACATCAGTTGAACAATAACTGATAAAAACCTCATGCTCACTTGCAACCCAGATACATGAAGGATGAAAACTGTAAACCATACAAAAATCCACTGCCTGTTACAAGAAGCAGTAGTTTAAAAAATGTAAGATTTTCCTCTTAAATCTGGCTTTCTGAGCTAACCTCTGGAACACATTTCCATACACTCATAACTCTTCCCCTGCTAGATGTTCCTGCCAGGACAGGATCTCACATGTGAAGTCCAGCAGACCACCTACATCTCCCTGAACAATATGTAAGGGTTTATCAGCATAGTCTCTGCCAGTGAAGCTGTATTTCTACTAGGATATTTTGTCAGTCTTGTGGGCTGAGGGGGAAAGGAGGGGTGAGATTCATACTTAAATGTGATTTTGTGGTTGTTTATACACAGAGTTCTAGCTGAGAGGGGTATACCAGCATTACCCTGAGGAAGTGGCCATGACTGTGGTCAAGCAAAGGGCAGAAATGGCTTTAAATTGCTTCCAGAAAGAGAGAAAGCAAGACAGAGAATTACCTAATTAAATGACAATGTCTGTGTCTAATCAAGTGTCTAAACCTGAGATAGCTGACATGTGCTCCCTTTGTTGTCAATGGAGATGTTGTCAACTGAGCCCCAGGAGAAACTCATCTCACCCTCATGCAAGACTAAATAAGCAAAATTTACTCCAGTGAACTGCACTCCAGAAGTGGATATTTCCTTTAGAATGTGAAAGGAAACTGGGGTAAAAGTATTTGGTTTAGATATGCAGAAGTTTGGTGAAATCCCATCCCACAAGTACAAAGACAAAATTAATGAAGAATGTAGAAACCAAAATGAAAAGAAAAAGTTAATAATATTAGAAAAGAAATCAGGAGCTCAGTAAAATTTACTAATAAAATACTAAGCTGAGGAACTATCAGCTAGAACTCAGCAGAATTATCTTTTACCTGATAATGTTGATTTGATAAAAAAAGTTTACATTTCCAGAGTTTGTTAGTTCTGGCAAGGTCTACAAAACTAAACTAAGAGTCACGCTTGGAGAAAAACTGTATAATAAAAGAAAAATTGAGAAGATAATTCAAATTTCCATAGTCCTCTATGTCTATTTTTAATTATCACAATTTAGACTTACAAGAAAAGGAACAGACAAAATTCAAGGTCAAATTACATTATCTGGTGAATTGTTGAAAGGGAAGGTAAATGGAAAACTATGGCTTCTCTGAGCAACTTAAATAGTAGCTTAAGCAAATACTCTTAAGTACATTTCTTAGTACTTATTGAACTATGGTTATTGAGTTGTTTCACATGCTAAAGTAAATGCTTCACAGAGTATTTCAATGTAATTTTTAGCAGCAAGTGGTGATAATGGAGTTTCATAAAACTATGAAAAAATATTAATGACTAATATATGAAACTGATGTCAGACTGTTTTTTTTTTCCTTGAACTTAATAAATGTACACAAGTTTGTAAAAACTTTCTCAGACTTACCACTGGTGACTCTCAGCACTCCCAACATCCAGCTGAACAGCCTTTTCAGCTTTAATCTTTCCTGTAAATGGAGAACAATATATGAAAGGATTTATTGTACTCTTCTATGTTTTAGGTGACTCCCAAGAACAAAGCAATCTGATTTAGTCCAGCAGCAAAGGAATTGACTCCTGTTCTTAGAAACATTTAGACAAACAATGTAACACCCTGGATTTACTTCATTTACATAGTCATACACTTACATATATGTATATATAAGCTATATATGCAATTTTAGTATTTTCCTTTAAAATCCAATTCAGATGCAGTTAAATCAGGGAAGGATTGGACTGGACTGCCAGAGGAGGCCATCATGTCTGTAAGACTGAAGAGCCCTAAAAGCAGGTCAGACAAGCACCTGTCATAAGGACCAGCAAAGCCATTTCAATGCCTTGACTACAGGAATAAACTAGCTGAAGTTCCTTTCTAGCATAAAGCCTTCCCTTAAGTTCCACTTTTAACTGAATAAAGATGAGAGTATGTGATTTGATCAAACCCATGCCCTCAGTAAGAAGTTCAGACAAGATGCTTGCAGTTTGCAGAGTCTCAGCTGCAACCAATTAAGCTGCACTGACATTTCTGTATTCTAAGTTAACTTCATAAAAACAACGAATAGCATACACAGTTCTCCTACCCAGTGGAATGAAAAATAACCATGAAACTACTGCCATCTCTCCTGCAGTCTCAAGCCCTCTGCAGCACTTCCAAAACCTGAGATGAAAAAGGCTGCCGCCACCCCCACTTCATGAAAATGAGCCAAACTAGGCTGGTTACTCAACACCTAAGACTCACTTTCATCATTCTTCATCTCTCCCTGTCTTTTGCTATCATTCATCAGCTGAGATTACATGCAGTGACAGAACCACAGACTATCCTGAGTTGGAAAGGACCTACAAGGATCATTGAATCCAATTCCTGGCTCTGCACAGGACCACCCCAAAGAGTCACACCACGGGCCTGACAGCATTGTCCAAATGCTTCTTGAACTCTGCCAGGCTGGTGCTGTGACCACTTCCCTGGGGAGCTGTTCCAGTGCCCAACCATACTCCAGTGAAGAACCTTTTCCTAATATCCATCCTAAACCTCCCCAACACAACTTCAGTCCATTCCCTTGGGTGCTGCCACTGGGCACCACAGAGGAGAGATCAGTGCCTGCCCCTTCTCTTCCCCTCACAAGAAAATAAGAGGTGCAATGAGGCTTCCCCTCAGTCTCCTCTTCTCCAGGCTGACCTGACCAAGTGACCTCAGCTGCTCCTCATGCGGCATCCCAACAAGGTTGTCCCATCCCAGGTACAGAATCGGATACTTTCCCTTGTTGAAGTCCATACAGCTGGTGATTGCTCAGCCCTCTGATTTGTCGAGATCTCTCTGCAGGTCCTCCTTGCCCTTGAGGGAGTCAACAGCTGCTCTGAGTTTTGTATCCTCTGTGAACTTTCTCTGTATCCCTTTCAGTCCTGTGCCCAAGTTGAAAGATATCGAAGATGTCGAAATGCACAGGGCTGAGAATGGAGCCCAGTGGAACCCTCCTAGTGACAGGTCTCTGGTCTAATGTCACCCCATTCACCATAACCCTTTGTGCCTGACCCGTGAGCCAGTTGCTTACCCATCCCATGATGTGTTTATCCAGCTGGGTGCTGGACATTCTGTCCAGAAAGATCTTGTGAGAGACAGTATACAAAGCTTTAGTGATATTCAAAAATATTATATCAACTGGCTTCCCTTGATCAGTTAGGTGGGGTACTTTGTCATAAATGGAAATCAGGTTTGATAAGCAGGACCTTCCTCTCATGAAGCTGTGCTGGCTGTGACTAGTGACTGCATTGTCTTCCAGACGTTTTTCTATACCACCCAGAATAATCTGCTCCATAACTTCACCAGGCACTGAAGTGAGACTGATAGCCCCATAGTTGCCAGGGTCGTCCTTCTTGCCCTTTTTGAAAATCAGGACAATGTCAGACAGCTTTTAGTCAGCTGGACCTCTTCAGATTCCCAAGACTGCTCAAAAACCACCAGGAGAGATTTTGAGATGACTCCAACTAGCTCTTTGAGGATTGTTGGATGAATCCCATCAGGCCCCACAGATTTTTAGGAATCCAGCTGAAGCAGCATATCCTACACAACTTCCAGGTTGATGGGGAACTGGTCATTCTTTGCAGCCATGGTACTCCAGCTCAGAGCACTGATAACCCCTTGCTCCATTATCCATGTTGAAGACAGAGGCAAAGAATACGTTAAATATCTCTGCCTTGTCCATGTCCCCGTCTGTGAGAGGACCACCTTCATCCTGTAATGGGTTGATGTTATTTTTACACTGCCTAATGCCATTAATACATTTTTAAAAAGTCTTTATTGTCCCCCACAATCCTAGCCAGCTTCAAGTCCAGTCACTGGTAAAAGCAAAAACTGCAGCAACAGAATTTATTGTTTTCATTTACTTTGTGTCATAATCCTCATTGCACTGTAGGATTTATGTACAAAGCCAAGTGCTACTAAAGCAAAGACAGTATCAATTATGTTGCTAAGACAGTGCAAGTTTTCAGGAGCATTTAGATAACAAAGGACTGGGAAAAGGAATGACCTTTAACAAACTGAGGTTGTCTGTGGAATATGTTACAACAGCATGAAGGCATCATACTGCCTTAAAGGATGACAAAAGACAGCTGAAACTGCTTTGTCAGTGACATTGTCACTGCCAACACAATAAAAAGTCAATGAGAGGTGCCACAAAAGACAAAATAACCCAAACTTGGGTTACACTTAGAAAACCTGCTTTGGTGCAGCAAAAAAGGAAGGGGCAATGGCGAGACAAAAGGAAGAGAGAAGTACTCCAAGATAAAGGCAAAAAGGATTATTTTAAAAACAGTGCCTTGACTGGAGGAGAGTGACACAGTATAGAGATATAGGTTTTAATATAATAAAAATAAGGCCCAAAATAAAAAGGGAAACATATTGCTCCTCTAGCCGATATCCATCCAGACAATGAAAGGAAGGGCAATGCTCTTAAAAGGGACCAAAAAAAAGTGCTATGACAAAGAAAATTAAAATCTTGTAGAGACTAAATTGTCAAACAGGACACATGGGAAGAGATGTCTGGAAGCAACATCAACTGTCACACACCACTTCTGTTTCTGGTCAACAGTTCCTCCAGATTCACAAAGTTTCATCCCCATCATCACCACAAAACAGACTGCTAATACGCAGGAGTGCTCTCTGACCACAGGAAAGTAGAAAAACAAACCCTGACCTGGCCTCAGCATTTATTCCTCTTGCTCTCCCAAAGATGTAATTAAGAAACTGTGCTGACTACATCTGGGAGTTTTGACATTCTGTATCCATCTGTTTCTCAACAAAATACAGGATTTTAAGGCAATCTGCAGAGACAACAGCCTCCAATTATGACCCATTATACTTCTCTGCCACTGATTTTGGATCTCTCATTGAGGAAACAATGAACTGAAGTTGCAAACTGTGGTGGTTTACTGCACAAAACATCATTACAGTACAAATGCTCCCATCTATTGGATTGCAAATTCCTTATATTGGAAAACTTAACCAAAGTTCAAAGCATGTTTCACTACATTCATATGGCATTCTTCATAAACATTTTTCCTCTTACCATCAGTTACATATTTCCTCTTCTCCTCAGCATCAGTAGTCATCTCAAACAGATCCCCATAAGCACGTGCAAGCCTCCAAAGAAAGTCCACAGAGTTTCCATACTGAAAGTAGAGGTCAGCTACATAATTAAACTGATGAGAATGTCATTTAAACAGTTTACTTTCACAATGCTTAAAATAACATGCTTAAAGCAAGTAAAGAAGAGGGCATTTTTTTGTTAATTTTCCATCTTTCTACGTGCTACTTTTAGTTCATGTGAGAACCAATTGACCAATCCCCCATGGACAAAAGAGAATACAGCTTTCGGAAATACCCTGCACTGTCTAAAGAGGTTTTATTTTATAAATCATTTTAAATTTCTTTTAATATAAACATTTACAAGGTAATCCAGCAAAGCACAACAAATCCCTGAACAAAGTGATGCATATTTTCTTTAGGGAAGCCATAAGCACCACACTCACAATATCTCATTTACCTTCCTTGGTATTCCAATATTCAGATGAAAATACAATCAGAACTAATGCATGCCAAATGAGAATAAAATAGTACACTGAATTGAGCAATGCACATCAAACTACCTTTAAATTTTATCTGGAGTTATATAAAGGCCCAGTAAAGTCAAAGAAAAAATTCACATGAATGGTATTAGAAAGGTATGAGCAGACTAGATGCTCACAGTTTGAGAACAGTAGGTCTGGTTACTACTTCTACAGGATTTTCTCACACAGAGTATTCTAAAACCAGCAGAAGTAAGTATAATTTACGTTGAAAAAAGCCCATGATTTTTATTTGTTTTATGGAAGAATCCCTTTGTCAAACAAAGCCTTAAATTATCGAATTAGAATGGGATATAAAATAGGAGAACTCCTATGTCCACACAACATGAATATCGACACCACTTTGAAATGCTGCTTTTTGACTGTATTTTAAAAATATGCTTGAAATTTCATAGTCCATTTCTATGTGCATTTTAAAGCTTACATTTAGTTCTCAAAAGCAGGGTATTTAGGTCTCAAAAGCAGTGTAAGTTAGTAGCAACATAATGTTAAGTCTACCCATAATACCTTGTCATTTTTCTCAAGCAGCAGACTGAAGCCCTCCTTTTTATCATCTTCTGAACCCTTGTGCAAATTGTCCACCTTCTGTAAAAAATTAAGTAAGTCTTCATCTTCTTCTGATTTTACCACAGCATCAGGTGATTTCATACATCTCTTTTCTTCCTCCGAGTCTCCTTCAGAATCAGTATGAGCAGTAAGGTAACTAAAATCACAGAAAACAGTAACCATTTTTTAATTAAGAAAAAAAAAGGGCATTGTTAAATTAAAAAGCCAACATTTCAGAGTACAATTTATCCTGGTTGTCCAACTTTAAAGGATTTTTTATTAAGGGTATCAAGCTTTTTGTTATTATTACAAAACCTTTATCTTCAAAGGGACAGCACAGTCATATTCCAAACATAACAGGTAAATAATTATACTGCTGCCTAATACTCCATTAAAAAAATGCAGATACATTATTAGAAACACCCTTGTGCTTCTAACAGAACACTTGAAATCATTAATGTGTTTTAAGACATGCTCTGTAACCCTGAATAGGCCTCTTCAACTCTTAACCTCAATTTCCCTATTTTTGAACAAGGAATGAGCTTACTAACCAAAATATAAGTGCTATAACAATCATTTACACAATATTTTCTTAAACACTTTTAAGACCTAAATACAAGCCTATAAAAATAGCACCATTGTTATAAATTCCTTATTTCTTCTGAGCATTCCAAAGTTCAGAGTATCTGAAACTGGAAAAGAGCTTATATTGATTCATGATGCTTAGTGCATAACTCAGCACAAGGCAGTCAAGGGCAAAGAAATATTTGCAAAAGCATAAATATCACACAGAGATAAACAAGTGGCCTTACTGTCCAAAGTGCTGAGAATACCTTAGGGTACTCTGATTTAAAAAAGGAGTAGCTGATGGCAACGTTTTTTAAAAGCAGCCTTTTGCTTCTGTACTAAAAATGGACAGAGAAGCTTGATCATCTGCATTTCCACTTTTGAAAATATTGTTCTGGGGAGGAGTAATATTGTAAACCTATCAGCTGCAGGTTCAGAGATTTTCTAAATGGTTACTATGAATACAAAAAGCATGGAATGTAGTACACACATTAAGTAACTGAATAATCAAAGTAGACCATAACAGTCAGAATATTAAAAAAAAAATCTATTTCCTTTTTTTCAGAAATATAGCCAAGACAAAATGTTAGCAGTCAAAATGAAGGTATTAACTGTGGCTTTCAAATATTCTATTTACAATATGTTGGTTTCAAAACAGATGAGTGTATCTGTTATAACAGATGAGAGCAGATACACTTCCAGCCTGTAAATGAACAAGTACAAATGCTTATGGAGCTACTGAAGCACTAGATGTGGCACAACAGTCTTGCTGCAAAATTAACCCAGTGGCACTGGAAAGAAGAGTCAAAAATACATTTGGGTAAAATATATACACAGATCATGTGTACATGTTCAAACTGAAAACTATAATTGAGGAAAACAAAGATAGGAAACCTCACATGTTTCTACAGATTTGTTTTACATAATCTTGACGATGCTGAAATTGATGATACATACTATGCTGTATCTTGCAGAGACTATATTCAGTCAATGAACACTTACTTTCATTTTCTGAAGCATGTTTTAAAAGCCAGCATATTGTTCTTTCATAGTTATTTTGAAGTGGGCACAGAAATATATCATGACTGCATTTGTAAGAACCCCAACTTAATCAAATGTATAAGGGAGTTCCTGGGGAGTGAGACAACCTTTTAGCTCCAATACAAAACTCTATGATGTGAAATATGTTTGGAAAGTATCTTTCCTCATATGGTTTAGATGCTCCATTCCCCTAGTTAAAAGATAAATGCAAATGAGGATCTGGGAAATTCCCAACCTGAAATAAGGGCACTAGATAACATAAAAGAGCAACAACTAAGCAGTAAAGACAATATCCTTAGTTACAGGAAATTGGGAACTGCATCAAATGCTACCTAATCAGATAGATATGAAAGTGAGGAAACGGTGTTAGGAAGTCAGTGCTGTTGCTGTATTCTTTACCTTTGCTGCATAAACATCTGCTAAAATTTCTATGATCACTACTGTTCCTGTGTCAGATAACAGATAAAAATAAATATTAGAAAATGCTATTCTCCCAGCAAAAATACAATGGCCAGATGACAAATAGAAGGTAGGGTTGACACCCAAGCCCATTGGGCTGTCAGTCCAAACAAGCGCAGCAGATTTCCAGCAGCACTATATCAAATGTCATGACAAAACATCAAATAAATTCACATGACATCAGGTAAGTCATATATTTATTGGGAGACTCATGGAAAAAGTGTGAAGTAGGTCACTATGTAATAGACCATATAAACCGATAAGGGTCTAAATACAAAACAGCAGAAATAGCAGGGTCATGTCTTACCCATTCCCTCTCATCTCCACTGTACTTGCAAATTCTCTCCTACCTCCTCTAGATACCTGCTTTATGAACCCTCAAAGTATTTAAATGTGGAACAGACCCTCTTAAACATTGATTAGAATGTCATAAACTTCAATTTACTTGTTGGGCTATATCTGACTTCAACAAAGCAGCTAACAGTCTTACACATCTACTCATTCAAAAGCCCTAAAATCAGTACCAACACAAACAGAAATAAAGATTCTTCTTAACACAGATCAAAAACTCCAGGACTTTAGGGACTGATAACACTACTCCAAAAAAGACATAAACAGAAAACAAGGAATAGTAATTATGGTTTGTTTTACAAATATTTCATACAACAGAAATATGCAATTTTACCTGATATTTTCCTGCAAGAAGTTTTATCAGACAATAAACAGAAAAATTATTTACAAGTGATAAACACATTGAACAATATTTTAAAAAATTGAAGAATGTTTAAAAAATGCCCAGAGTCAGTGCCAACTTGTTTTCACCTTTATTACTGATAGATTTTAAATACAAGAGAAAAACAGTGATAAGAATGTGAGGAGCAATGATCAACCAACAGGACTCAGTTGCATCAGAATGGACTGTTCAAAGTTCAAAGAACAAACAGAAACTGTGCTGGAGACTCACCTCACTGCGGCTAAGCAGCTCAATAAATCCCAGCACGCAGAACCAGATCAAAACAAGGTACATAGTATAAAACACCCCTCTGGTATAAACACAGTTGGGTGGTTCAAAAACTGTGTTGGGGTGTCTGTAAATTGGCAGACACTGGGCCTAACCAGGTATCATTTGTTCATAACACTTCAGCTTTTAACAGATCAAATATCATCTCTCGTCTCCCTGCCAATTTAGAAGAGCACAAGCTGACACAAACACCCTCTCATCTGCTCTGGCTAATTCCACAGAAAGGTGATTTTACGTCACAGATGGATCTGGATCAAATTTGCACCGTACAAATGCACAGTGCACTATGATCCAGCAAGTGCATATCCATCAGTAATGATAAGTGGCTTTCAAGGAAAGGTTTGGCAAACTGGATTCTTAAGCTAACTGAAGGTTTCATTTAAAAGAAATGAACAGCAAAATAAATTAGAAAATGCTAAGTGAAGTGACACTCAGAAGCAGGCAAGGGAAATTCCTTTCCCTGACTAAACTATTTAAAGGAAAAATTATAAATAGAACATCTGTCAGAAAAAAATTAACTGCAGAGAATCTTTCTGGTGCCTGATGCCAAATGCAATTTGAAGAGCTAGAATGCTGGGCCAGCTGAAAACAGGGGCCAAAATGACACTGATGTCCAGGGTTCATTACTGCCATAATCAGGGAGGAAACAGCTTGAAAATCACAAAGAAGAGAATTCACTGACATGCTCCATTCCAGGCGATCATCTGGACACAATTTATTGTATTTGTACATAAATGAGTGTTTGTTATACATTCTCAAATGTTAAACATTGAAGTTTTCACCAGGACATTAACAGAACTGAAACAAACAAACAAAAAAAAATATAATACAGAAAAGCACAGACTAGAAACCACAGACTCTTTACAACTTAATCTCTCATCCATTCAGCACACCTTCCATTCAGACTGTCATCATGTAAAAATACAGCTCATTTATTAAAACACAGAAATACATAATTTTTGAAAGACAAAACAGAAAGCTTCTCTTCCCAAGGTGTTGAATACCAACAATGACATTGAAAACATGCTCAGAGCAGATCAAGGCAGTGAGGGCCTTATCAGACACTGTCAGCTTCCAATATTTAATGAAAAAGCTAGGTAGTACTAAATGCTTTTCTGGAAGAAGTTTACAAACCTGAAACCAATGTAGTCATCCAGCACAAATCCAAAAAACTCTTCAGATTAGTTTATCTGTCAATTCCCAGCACCTACCCATTTGTCAACTCAAAACAGAAGTGCTTAACTCAAGCAAAATCCTGTCTTCTAGATCATGAAATTACTGCTGAGGGAGTGAAACACAATGCACTTTATATGGGAGTACAGAAAGGTGAAAAACATTTTATAAGTAACAAAGAGCAAATTTTTTTTCTGTAGTGCACAAACAAGCACCTGAATGCACCATTGTGTGGAATGAGCCACAGAAGAGTATAAAACAATGCACATGGTGTAATGCCTACAGCATATGAAGTAGTGATGTAGAGTAACTGGAAAAAACCCAAGTGTTGCTGCTGACCCTCCTGGCCATGCACCAGTCATTAAAGTTACAGAAGACCTCAGAAAAAGATATATATATATATATATATATATATATATATATATACATATATATATTGCAATTGTACACATTAGGATTAACAACCTATTTGCAAGAGTACGAAAAAAAACCACTATTTACTTAAATGAAAATAAATTATCTCACATTTAAAAAAGATATGAAAAACAAACACATCAAGTGCAAGGTGTTAATAGGAAAAAAGCCCACCTCTTTTCATAAGGGATTGAAAAACAGCATTGGGAAAGAACATAGCCAAATGACTAATGCTAACTGTAACCTTGAATTATTTTCCTTGCATCTGACTGTACACAAATAGTTGTCAGAGAAGGCCTCTCTTAAGGACACATTCAATGTTCTTGCACACTGTAATCACTTGTATTGGCTCACCGCATCAGCTTCTTTGTCACACAGAAGAACCTGAGCACACAAGTTTCCTTGTCTTCTTTTCAAAGAGCAACATATCACTCCTGATCAGAAAACAGCATTTTCTCAAATGCTACACAGGGAATAACCCCTGCATTGCGTCTGTGGACTTAGTAATTCATAAACTGGTCCCTTTGCCTTATCTGCATCTCTGAATATTTTATTTGTAACATGAAGGCCTCTGTAAACTAACCAGTGGATGAAATACTCTAAGAAACTAAAAGAACCAGGATGGTCCCACACCAGATGAAGGAGGAATGTCATTGAATACTTATGCCAATCCTGAATACCTAAAATAAAGAACTGGTTCATAATAGAACTGACAGGTCTTAAAATATGGTATCACAATATAAGTCTTGTGAACCATGTGGGCTGGGATGTAACACAAAAAGAAATTCTGCTCGCAGGAACTGAAAATGAACGTGGAAAAACTTAAATATAGCATTCCATTAATATGCAACATCTTAGCTGTCTTTAGAATATTACAGTTAGTTAAAGTATTTTTAAAGAGAAAAGGTGACATAAGATGAGCAATTTACAGACATAATGCTGCCTACACAGACGTGTAAGACACTCTGAGAAATAGCTCAAAACACTCAGTTGCTATAAACATAGTATTAGTAAATTGCATGTAAGTATCTAATCTGATTATACCAAAACAAAGTTGTAATTACAGGAGACTAATGTCAAGACAAAAATATAGTGCCTCTCCTGGACTCCTGGTACATATCATCCCCCAGCGTGTTCCTCAACTCATGAGACTAAAAGACCCCATTAACTACAAGATGCGATCAAAACTAGGAACTTTCTACCGGACTGAGTCAGTACCCTAAATTCCTCATGGTCATTTTTTGAGCCACCAGAAAGTGTATGCAACTGCACATATACATAAGCATTGCCACTTGTACAGAGGTTCTGCGCAGATGTAGCTTCCACAGTATGCAATGCTTCTAGGCAGAACACTGTAATAACTCATCCGTGAGGCTGATAAAAAACAATTATCAGGAAAAGCACATGAGCATTTGTACAGTTTGAACTAACTCTGTTAAAGACACACTAGGAGAACTTTTAAAATTACACCATTATTCTGAACTTTGCCTCTCATTGCATAGCTATGTAGCAATACTGCATCAGTGTTACCAAGCACACTCTCAAAAAAAAAAAATCTGTATTATGCCTGGCATTAAACCAACTTCAGCCATAGTGCAGACTCAGAGATGGCCACCAAGAGTCTTCACTGATCTAAAAACCCTTAATCTGAGCATTTGTATTTACTTTTCCAGAAGTATAAAATCTGAAACAAACGTTTAAAGGGCTCCTGTTTACAGTTTCACATAGGTAATGACGCAACTTGTACTGCACGTGTACAGTAGAATATACAAGTTATTATTAACTCACCCTCCTTCACTTTCTGCCTCCTCAGAGCTGGTAGTTTCTCTTGTACTAGCAGTTGTCTCTGCTTTTCTCCGCCTTGTTGCTCTGTGTGATGGGCTAACTCTCTGAACACCACCCTTTCCTTGAAGCTCATTTCGAACAAGTTCTTCAAGTTTTGGAATAGCTTCTTTCAGACATTCCACCTCTCTCTTCAGTTCATCCACGCTTAGTAGCAGCCCATTCAATTTTTCCAGTATCTGCAGCTGCCTTCCATGTAAAACCATTACTGCTCCTTGCTCATTAGGAGCCTCATTTGGCAAGCCCACAGAATTAATTCTGTTACCTATATCCTGGAACGCACGAACACACACAGCTGCAGCAGGCTTTCGGTTCTTGTGGTACCAAACCAGCACCAGGCTTAATCCAGCAGTCCCTGCCATTATGCCCAGTATTAGTCCTTTATTTTCGAAGGGAGACATTTCTGCACACTCCTAGAATTATAAGAAAACAACAACAGTTTAAGATGCTTCCCCCTGCTCTACACAAGAGATTTACTCCACTCTGAAATCAGGAAAGCATAAGGCAGAAGAACTGCAGACACAAAGTTACACTTTTTGCAGGTTCTGCAACGCGAGGCAGCAAAAACAAGCCCAAAGTGGGTTTGGGGGTGTAAGGGGCGCTGGCACGTGGGCAGGACTGCAGCCTTCACTCTTAACCGTCCCAGCATCCAGGAATTTGTTTGTTTTAATGCGAGAAACTCATATAATCGGATTTTCCGCCACTGCAGAGGCGGAAACCCAGCTGTCAGGCCGGAGGGGCGTCACGCCGGTCCCCCAGCCCCTGCCCACCGAGAGGCTGCCAGAGCCCCGCGTTCGGCTCCGGCCCCTGCCCCAGCCCCGCAGCCGCCCCAGCCCCGGACCCGGCCCCAGCCGCCCCGGCAGCGCCGGCCCCGGGCCCAGCGCCGCCCCCGGAACGTACGTATGGCCGGGCCGCGCCGGGCCGGGGCAAGCCGGGAGCAGCAGCGCGTCCGGCCCAAGAGCCCGCAGCTCTCCCGCCGTGGCACAGGGGGCGGCGGCGGAGCCGCCCCGGGGTGGCGATACCCGGATCGAGGGGGCCGGGCCGGGGCCGGGCCTGGGCCGCGCCGCCCGGCTGCCGCGCGCTGCCCGCCGCAGGAGGGGTCCCCGCATCGCTGGGAGTCCCGGCGGGCTGGCTGCACCTGCCACGCACCTGACTCGAAATACGCCGTTCTAGAGCAAGCGTACCTGTTCGTGTGTCTGTCCTCAGTCTGGTGGCCGCTCGATTTCACCGATATAACCTTTTGCTACTTCTAGGCCACAGAGAAATTGTGTTTCCACTGCATTGGTGGAGACCTGAAGCTGTAAAATCACGGAGAAACCCCGCCCCGTTGTCAGGAAGACGGGCAGTCCCGGCACGAAAGCTTCATTGCAATTTAAGGCATCTAAGGGCCCAAAACTGATTTCACCAGTGCATTACAGATTGCCCGAAGTCTGGAGGAACTTACCATAGAACCATATAATGGATTAGGGTGGAAGGGAACCTTAAAGGTCATCTAGTTCCAGCCCTCCTGCCATGAGCAGGGAGACCTTCCTGCTAGAGCAACTAGATCAGGTTGCTCAAAGTCCCATCCAACTTGGCCATAAACACTTTCAGGCTTGGGGCACCCTCAGCTTCCCTGGGCAATCTGTCCCAGTGCCTCACCATCCTCACAGTAAAGAATTTTATACTAATGCATAATCTAAATTTATTCTTCAATCTGAACCCACTTTCCCTTATCATGTCACTCCATGTTCTTGTAAATGGTATTGCCCCATCTTTCCTCAAAGTTCCCTTCAGGTGCTAGAAGGCCACAATTAGCTCACAACAAAGCCTTCTCTTTTCCAGGCTGAACAATCCCAGTTCTCTCAGCATTTTTTCATAGGAGAGGTGCTCCATCCCTCGGTTTAACCTGGTTTTCCTCATCTGGACTCATTCCAACAGATCAGTGTCCTGTGTTGGGGACCCCAGAGGTGGATGCAGCACTGCAGGTGGAATCTCACCAGAGCAGAGTAGAGGGGCAGAACTTGGATTTATCAGAGTGTGGGGGGATTGCTCCTGTGCCCCATCTGAGATCACTTTTATTGGTGACTATCACAAGACTCTGCTTTGCCCTTTATGACAAAAGGATCTGGCTCCTGTTTCTGGCCTTGGATGGAAGAAGGATCACCACGGACAACCTGCTCTGACCATTCATCTTCCTGAAGGCTTGTGGAGAGCCTCTGCACGACATCCTACCAGAATTTACAGGCATAAAACTCATGTTCTTCTGTGTGAGGGCTTAAGGCAACCATCATGGAAACCACTGTGTCTGTGCAATGGAAGAAGCTTTTTAGCAGCTGAAATTGTCCTCAACCATATCAATCAGAAACAAAGAAACACAATTCTTAAAAAACATACTAATTGCCTTTAAAAAGTGAGCAGAGTGCTGTTCAAGACAAAAACAGGTACCTAAAACAGGTACCAAGAACAGAAGATTTTTCAGTCTTAGTACAAATTAGCAATTGTAAATCAGTGTAATGTCTATTTATCATCAAAGAATTGTTTAAACCAACTACAGCTCTAAACTAATTCTTCATTAAGATCCCGAGGATGAAATTACCCTTATGAGACCAAACTACAATCTGAGACAAAGGTAGAAATTTGTTAGAATGAAAAAGTGAGTACTGTTTCAGTATTTTGCAGGTTTCCCAGTTACAATATAATAATAACAAAATGTATAATCTGTTTGTAATTAGAAATTTTTAAACAAAGGATGGAAATCTCTTTAATTTTATGGAAACTTCACTAAACTCAATTATTTTAACAAATTTCACTATAAGTAATGGTTTTAAGATACACAATCTCTCAGTGTTTTAAAATTGAACAAGAAAACATGAATCTCCATATGCTGATAGTGCTTCAAGTGTTCAGGAATGGTAATCTAGATGTGTTGGAAAACCTTTAATTTTTATTTTCATATTTTTTCAGTTTATTCTGCCAAAATCTTTCTATAAGCCAATTAAAACAGGAAAGTATTTTGAAAAGAGTATTAACTGGAGGGCAAGCATAGCACAGAGCTGAAACAAAATACTATGGATGCAAAAAGCTAAGTGAGTATTTTTGAAGATTTTCCAAAGCAACTGTCTTGGGCTGCAGGCCTTAGACAAGGAGAACTGTTTTCAAAAAATAATGTCTCAGGAGAACTACCATCTACAGCTGCCTGGATATGTATCAACTGTGAAAATCAGGTCACCTGTCTGATCCCAAAAAGTTATTGATTATATGTAGAAACTTGCTGAAACACAGCAGCTTTCCAAGCTGGAGAACTAAACATCAATTTATCTAGATTTGACATAATTCAATTGACCTAAATATGACATATGTTCTAAAAAAACTGAAATAAATGCTTTTAGAAAAGCACTATTCTTCTGCATATGAATTTTTCCTAGTTCAAAAGCAACTTTGTACCTGAAGTCCTAAAAAACAAGTCCAGACAACCATCTGTTATAAAATGCTTAGCCCCAAATATTTTTAGTGTATTTGCAGCCTTATTTCCTAAGAACACAAAGTTTATGCCCTCAGGTTGTCCGTGTGTTGTCCTTCTCACAAGCTGTACCATGACACTTTCTCCACCCAGTAGCTCCTGAACATGGAGCTTAATTTCAGCCAATTGTGACAGAATATGTCAAGATCATGGAATTGTAGAATCATAGAGTTGTTGGGGTTGGAAGGCATGTTCATGATCATCAAATTCCAACTGTCCTGTGATGGGCAGGGACGCCTTTCACTAGAACAGGTTGTTCAGGCTGCATCCAACATGGCCTTGGACACTTCCAGGGATGGGGCATCCACAGCTTCTCTGGGCAGCTTGTCCCAGTGCCTCACCACCCTCTGAGTAAAGAATTGCTTCTTAACATCTAATCTAAATCTCTCTTCTTTAATCTAAACCTACTTGTCCTATCATTATTTGCCCAAGTAAAAAGCCACTTTCCCTCTTTTTTTGTAGACTTATTGAAGTATTGAAAGGCCACTCCAAGTAGTTTCAAGGAGGCCAGCACCCCGGCCCCAGCCAGATGCAAAGGAATGAACTTAGCACACCAATGCTGCAACACTGACACACCTACATAGGGCACCAGCCTTCTTACAGCACTATTTTTGTAAAACCAGGACAGGCAGTTTACTGGTCTTTTGGGAAAATTTGAACTTGGACAACATTTTTGTGCCATATTAGAAAAGTTAGCACATTATTGAGTGATTGTGTTCAATGGATCAGAGAGCCATTACATAATGTGTACATAACTTACACAATGTAAGTAATTGATGCATGCTGTTTCCAAACAAAGTGAGCATAATCTACTGGTGGTTTCACTTCTGTATGGAAGGCATTTGTGTTTTACAATTTTCATAAATTTCTTTAGCTGTAATTCTTCTTTGCATTTTCTTTCATAATAGGCTGTTCTTTCTGAAATGTCCCTCCCTCCCCCACCCCCCAGAGATTAATCTACTGCTTGTAACAGATACAGAAGCCTTTAATGAGCTAGTAGCAGTTCGTTCTTATTACTTCAGCAGTTGTCTTGTAGGTGTAAAGTCAAATATTGTTAATATGTCACCAAACATTGTAAAAGCTTAAATACCTTTGACCAGACTTTCAACCAACCTGCCAGAAATCCTTTCTGGATGCCAGAACAGTCAGAAATCACTGTTCTGTCAAGTTTGGTTAAATTCTTCAGAATTTTTTGCTACAAAAATAAAGTTATATCTTACCTCAAAGGGAAGCACTCACTGTCAGACTTTCTGCTGCGTTTGGTCTGAACAGTTGTCCAGTGCCCCTAATGAAAAATTAATAAATTGAAGTTAAAAGGAGATGGGTAAGAGTACACTGATCTTTTCTGTTTTCTTGAAATAAAGATGTACTGCTTAGCACAGTTCCCTGGGGAGATGAGGCTGACTGCCTTTATGTCTCAATGCATGCAAATATAACCATAACTCTCCCTCCTCCCCAGTATTTTTGAATCTTTGGCCAGCCTCAGTCAAATTCAACAGAGAAACTCTAACAAATTTTGTTGAGTTAGTTGATCTTTTAAAGAAGAAATCTCTGAATTAGAGTCACTGCATTGGGGAAGATTACTTATCCTTTGATGTAAAACTAAGAATCCACACAGGAGAAAAGCATTTTGCAAGGACCAGAAAAGCTAAAGCAGAGCTCACATTTTATCAGATGTGAACAAACAAAACTGCAAGTTATAACCTGATAGGAAACCTGAATTCATCAGTTCTACTGCACTCACAATCATCTGTTTATTTATTTACTGATAGGATTGATAGGATCCAGTGCTGCAATTTCAGTTAAGTACAAATGGTCACTGACGGCACAGCTTTTCAAACAGCAAAAAAAAAAAAAAATGTACGTACTGTTCCTGCTTCTTTGTGTCTTCAGGAATCTCAAGGACATTATCAAAATATATTTATACAAGCTCTGTTAATTGTTTTAGGCCAAGGTAAATGATTCAGTTTCCTTGATGTAAGACATGAGAGTTGGCAGCCCAAAAGAGTTTGCATATGTTGTGTTGACAACTATAGGAAAAAATAAGCAAGGCTACATCCGATGTAGTTGGACAGCACTGCCTGATTTTTTCACAAAGAAGAAATTGTCCTTGGAGTGCCCGGGTCAAAATAGGAAAAATATATAAACAGTCATAAAAAGAAAAATAATATATGTGTATAAAAATATTTTTTACATATATATGCATATGTTCCTTGGGAGTTAAAAATAAAAAAGAATCAAAATCTTTATAAAGATGTGTGTGTGTACAGTGTATTCCACATCACTCACTGTATTTTCTTTTATTGAATTAAAAGTGTCCTTTTTTTCAGCTTCTCTATAAAAATGGTATTTCAGAGCATACTGAAGTATTTTAAAGGGCTTTACTGTCTCCACCGGCAAATGACAGCATGGCCCTTCTTGAACTCCAGTAAAAATTGCCTAATGGCCCTAGGATGTCTCCAATTTTACATTAAAAAATCATCATCCAGGTTAT